ATAAAAGGACACATGCAAGGAAAAATTATAACTTCAGTGAAAAAAAAAAAGATTTAAAAAAAAAATATTCCAAAACAAGTAAGGTGATTTTATGTAGAAATATACAATGAGAATCAATAACATATATATTTGTATCTGTGTTGCTGCTCTTCAAATGGGGTTTAGAGCAGAACTATTCAACTTAGTTTACTCAGGGGCCAACATTTTGAAAATGGGGATCATCAGTGGGTCCATAAGCCCGAGCCTCAGCATAGAAAGATCATTATTACATTATAACTGAGAATAATCAGCGGGCCCACTTGCTAGCTTTCTGCGGACCACATGTGGCCTGCCGGCCAAAAGCTAAATAGCCCTAGATTAGTGGTAGCAGTGTAAAATGGTTGCCAGGAGACTATATTACTAAAAGTAAACAATCTCTCATGGCCACAGCAAATGATATGCATGATATTAACAATATGCATAATATTATATGAACAGGACTTCAGTTTTCAAAATGGCGGATAGCAGCCGTGTTTATTTTTGCTAACTCAATTCTCTCGGATTGTTCTGTTTTATAATCATGGACTGCTATTTTGTGCACATTTCCAATGCAGAATACTATGTGCTTTTCGTGGAGCAGCATGTATTGTGGTTGTGCTATGTCGGGGCGGGATAATGACCAATAGTTTTGGCAGCCTCGACCACGCTGCCTTCGCAATGTTTTGATCGTGGCGGTCCACTCAGGAAGACAGAATCTCGTCAGCAGGGGACTGCAACTGTCTAGAGAGCAAACTCGATAAAAGCTGTCCCCAGAAATGGAATGTGTCAACCATATGTTTGGTGGGGAGGAATCGACACATACGTTTAACTCAATGGCCATGGCCATATGAACATAACATGCTTTAATTAAAAAAGACAACTGCTGTGTGAAAGAAGGATTTTTGGGAGGCTCGAATGCAAATCGGGCCTGTGTGCCAAGTTTGTGATCCTTTGAAAATAAACTTTGTTCATTCATTCATTAACGGGCTCCTACAGAAGAATGATTAAAATTCCATTGAGAGCGTACAAAATATTTATTAATGTAAATAAATTGAAAAAGTGTAAAACACAACATACTGATAACATCACAAAGAAGCAGTTGTCCTTTCTAGATGCATACTGAGAAAAAAATAACTGAAACATGTGAAAATAGACAGATTTATAGAAGGTTTACACAAACTGATCTATGTTGGACATTGCAAGATGTGGAAACGGACGATCGCCTATGCCAGCTGTCAAGAAACCTGATGACGATTGTGACAAATAAATTATTTTCCACATTTTCAATTCAAGAGTCTAGCCGCTACACCATGGCGGCTCCCCACAGTTACAAGCAAGAATTCACAAAATCACCTAATGAAATAATTCAAACGGTAAAGGGTCCATGCCAGCTGTTTACTAAGCTTTTAGTTTAATAACAATAAACTACAATCAACATAAAGAGCACAACACAGTTAAAGCAACTCAAAAGGAGAAACAAGCCAAGCAATAATCACTTTTGCTGCCATTACACAAAATGTCCCCTATCTAATACATAAGTGCAAATAATAAAACAGCCCATTAAAAATGCATACATTAGACTCAAAACAGAAGGGTTGCTACTAAAGTATTATAATCATACTGAAAATGAATAGACAATCTATGAGGTTTGAGGTTTTCAACAACGGATCAACATCATGGCACATGGGTAGTAACCCATAAATACTCCATTCTTCTTCTAACTCAAGTCTGAGTCCAAAGAAGCTCAGCACAGTGCACTGGCTCTGGTGCACTGGCAAGGATCCTGAAATACTTTGGGTAGATTTTAAACACCACATTTTGTCCAGGCAGCACCGTTAGGCTACTCTTTTCGATTTCCAATTGCCAAGGAATTTTTTACATGCACAACAATGCACACGGGCATCTGATCTCACTTCCTAGAGACCAGGGGGAATTACTAGAAGTCCAAGTCCATGTGAAAAAATCCCAGCCCTTACCAGGGATTAAACCCGGAACCTCTAACACGCAAAGCGGACATCATGCCTCAAGACCATGCAGCTCCCCCCCCTATATAATCTGTGTGGAATGATGAGTAGGTTTATATGAAATCTCTAGAATTCAGCAAAAGGAATGTTAGCTGACTCAGATAAGTAACTCTGTGCGTGAATACTGCAAGATATGGTGTGCTGAAGTTAACTTTGTGACTTTAATATAAAATAACCAACTGTAATTGCTATGCATATTCAAAATATGGGATAAGATAACCTTGTCAACTGCAAGTCTCATCACCACAGGACAAACTCACTAACTATAAATCTACTTACTACAATACATACTTGATAACACTTAATCTACTTACTACAATACATACTTGATAACTCTAAATCTGCTTACTACAATACATACTTGATAACACTAAATCTACTTTCTACAATACATACTTGATAACTCTAAATCTACTTACTACAATACATACTTGATAACTCTAAATCTACTTATAACATCTGTTCACTAACTCTACATCTAGTTACAACAAAAAATTCTCACTAACTCTACATCTAGTTACTACAAAATATACTCACTAACTCTACATCTAGTTACTACAAAATATACTCACTAACTCTACATCTAGTTACTACAAAATTTACTCACTAACTCTACATCTAGTTACTACGAAATATACTCACTAACTCTACATCTAGTTACTACAAAATATACTCACTAAATCTACATCTAGTTACTACAAAATATACTCACTAACTCTACATCTAGTTACTACAAAATATACTCACTAACTCTACATCTAGTTACTACAAAATATACTCACTAACTCTACAGCTACTTACTACGTGATATATTAACTCAAAATCTACTTGCTACAAGAAATATGTTTAAGGTTTAGGTTTTAACAACGAATCAACATTATAGGACAAGGTTAGTAACCCATAAGTGTTGTGTTCTACTTGTAACTCAAGTGTGAGTCCAAAGAATCTCAGCCCAGTGCACAAACTCCGTAGCACCGGCGAGGATCCTGAAATACTTTGGGTAGATTTTTAACTCGAATTTTGCCTGGGCAGTGCCGTTAGGCTACTCTTTTTGATTTCCAACATTCGAAACCGAAAGCAAAGAAGAAGAAAAAGAAGATTTCCAAAATGATTTTCAACATGTGCAACAATGCACACGGGTGTCCGATCTTACTACCTAGAGACCAGGGAAAATTACTAGAAGTCCAGGTAAAAAAATCCCAGCCTTCACTGGGACCTCCAGCACTTGAGGTGGATGCCATGCCTCGAGATTACATGGCCCCCCCTGTTCACCAACTCACAATCTACATACCACAAGCTATCCTTAACTTCAAGGCTACTTTAGTTAGTTGCAAATCCTTTATAGGACATTGCAGAACCAACCCTAGAATTTTTTTTTTTTTTTTGTGTGGCTGTTTCGGCTTCTTCTTCTAGGCTAATTTTGCACTCAGTAGTTTGCCACTGCTTCTGAACAGTCAGCTCTTGGTGCCACTGTTGAAACCAATACAAGACAAACCGTCCGCAGCTGGAATCAAACCTGGAACCCTAGCATTAGGAAGCTTGTTCACAACATCTTAGTCACAGAAGCCGGCCAAGACTATTTACTTCAAGATATAACCAACTCTAAATTACTATTTGATATTTACTCACTAATTCTAACTCTATGTACAAAACTTATGCAATTTCAAATCTATTTACTAGGATATGCTCACTAATTCTAAATCTTCTTCTGTTTTCTGCCTTAACAAGGTGGCTGGCACACTGTACTGAGGTTTACAATTAGACTGCAATATCTGCGTCTTTCAGCATATAACATCCATTTCAGCAAACCATTTAAGTAATCGCCTTTTATAATACGACTGTTAGGGGCCAGTGGGCTTATTCTTGTCCACTATAAATGGGCTTTGGGAACCCACATGGAAGATTCTAAATCTGCTTACAGGATTCACAGTTAGCAGATAATCTATCCAAATATACATACCCTATGTGGGTTCCAGGGTCCCATTCCGAAAGAGACCCACTGCCCCCCCCCCCCCCCCCCCCCCCACCAGCAAGCATGTCGTAAATGTTGACTAATTAGGGGTGATTCCTTGAAAGTTAGAGTGCATCTGTCTAAGATAGTGAGTAACCAGCACACTGCTTATAAATAAGTCATATCTGTAAAATGCATGCGCATACACAATTTTTTTCCTCTGGAACAAGACTAAAGTCCAGAAGATGGGGGGTGAATGCGACTAAGAAGACATATGCTAATTTAAAACTGTCCTTCTACAAAATGCTCTCATTAGCCTCAAATTACTGAAAAATATACTCATGAATTATAATCTACTCTCTACACAATAAGATATAATGCAACAGAAAATTTTTACCAAAGCATGAGGTAGCCAAAAATTTCCTTTGAACTAAATAGCTTTTATAAAGCCTAGCTGACACCAACTTTTTTCCCGTAAACCTCAGTGATAGGGAACTAACTGTATTACATTTAATGTTTCACCCTGTTCATGTTTACTAATTACTACATTCATATCTCTTTATATATTTCAGAGAGAAAAAATGTAGACAAATAAATATGGAATGAATTTATAAGTAACCTAGGTAACCTTTTGTTAACAAATTCTTTTCTGGAATTTGACCTCGGTCACTTTTTTTAGCGTTCCTGGGGTGAAAGGGTTAAACTATAAATTTCCAGTATAGTAGACTGTTAAGCAGATAGAGTCTCTACTGAAAGTTAATTTTAAAATATGTCTGCTTCTTAAATGTGGTGATGTAATTCTCAATTATTCCTATCTGAACATTCTTCTCAAACTCATCCGTATTGTAACTCATAATTTAAAAATATATACCCAAAAAAAATATAAAAGAAAGAAATCCACACAAGACTACATCCGATCAGGGTTAATATGACCCATAAAACTGTCTATATGTTGGTGACCAGGCTATGTGAAGCATCTCACTGGCAACTTACCCTTGCTTCTGGACATAAGGAGTTTGAATCCCCTCCTTGTTGGAGGCAATATTGGGCTCTGAAAATCTAGACCTGCATGCAAAACAAGCGTATAATTTGCCGGCAGAGACTCTTCTTCTCAGCGGCGGTCCACTGATACTGGTTTAGCATGCAGATTTGTGTTGGAAGATAAAAGGACATCAAAGGTAAGTACACAGTGATGAAGTGATAGACACATTAATCTGATACACGTTTTCTTCTCTATGTTTTTTTTTTCTTTCTTGTGTGTTATTTCTTTATCTCTCAGCATGGTTTCTCATTTTCTATTTATTTTAACTTCTTTTCTTCTATTTTATTTTGTTACTGTTTCCTCTGCATTATTTTTTCTTCTCTTTGTTTTGTTACTTTTCTTCTTTTTGTTTTGTTACTTTTTTTTCTCTCAGTTTTGTTACTTTTCTTCTCTCTGTTTTGTTTCTTTTCTTCTCTCTGTTTTTTTTTTTTTTCTCTTTGTTTTGTTTCTTTTCTTCTCTCTGTTTTGAAACTTTTCTTCTCTTTGTTTTGTTTCTTTTGTTTTCTTCTTTTTTTTCTTATTTGTTTTCTGTGTTTTCTTTTCTTTACTTCATTTTTTTACATCTCCTCTATGTTTTGTTTTCTTTCTTCTATTTGTTTTCCTTTTTCATTTTAGTTACATTTTTTCTTCTCTTTTGTTTAATGGGTTCTGTTTTTTTTTTTTTTTTTTTTGCATTTTATCTCTCTACTTTGTTGTCTTTCTTTCTGTTGTTTCTTTACTTCTTTTTACTTAGTTTCTTCTCTTTGTTGTTGCTTTTCTTCATTTTGTTCTTTTGCATATTTTTCTTTCATTTTTTTCTTCTCCATTTCAAAGACCATTTTTGATGTTTCTCTCAGACAAAAGAATGATGTGGTGACACCATGTCTATCATTATCAAAGAGTTCATTAGATGTCTTTCCAATGAAGGTGGGCTGCAGTGGATCTCCAACAAACTTGTCTCTTCTCTTGGTTGTACACTTAGACTGCTGGTCATCTGTCTCTTGATGGTGTCCTCCCACTTGTATCATTGTCTGCCTCTTGCTCTTGTCATCCCATTTTGCCTTCAGTTTGGTTTTTAGAAAAAAGTTATGTCTTTTAATGTTTCTTTTAGCAACTCCCTTTTCATTGCTAGTCTCTTTAGAACCTCAGTATCTGACTGGTTATTTCTTTCTCCTATGAAATCCAACCTATTCCTCTATATTCACATCACCCTGGACTCAATTCACATTTCTAACTGTGCGTTCATTGCCCTGATTTCGGCACACTAAGTAAGGCTGAGTACACATAATATTTAATGATTAAAGAATACAAATAAGAGAAAGAAAGAACATGCTTCAGAGCAAAAACAAATAAGATATTCAAAAACAAGCAGTTAAACAAGGCATAGTCTGGCACACACAGATGATCAGAGGTATTTTGGTTTCACATAAATACACAAAATAGGTTTAAGGGAGAAGTTGTAGCAGAACGGCTAGATGCTAGCCTGCAGACTGGAAGGTCGTGGGTTCGCTACCTGGAAGAGCCAGATTTTTTTTTTTTTTAAATGACCTTGGCTCCCAGGTCAACCCAGCCTTGAAAAGGGTACCGGGTGCAGTCCTGGAAAGTAAAGGAGGCCAGTGTGATGCTGACCACATCATCCATCTCGTGGCGATTAGTCTATAAAATAAAGGTCTAGCCCTATATGCCCTATACGCCTAAATGCGTGAGAAGGGGTCCTTTAGTTTTTTTATTTTTAACTTTTTTTTACGGGTTTTGTTTCAACAGGAGTCGTTCTAAGGTAGATACAGCTGTAGAAAAGAAACTTATTTATTTGCTAACAAAGTATTGAGCACAACCACAGAGTATGAGTGTATGTAGATATATGTTTTTCAGGAAATGAGGTCAGGCTCGCTAATTTTGTGGTCCCATAATATGAGGTGAAAAACCAGTGTGGAAATGGATACAGGATATAAGTGACACCATAGGCATGGTAGTAAAAACAAAAGTTAAGATCCCTTTTCACGCCTTTAGGCGCAACCGGCTAAGGGGAAGAGCACCCATATTTTTACAGACCAATCGGCACTAGGTAGGTAATGTGGTCAGCATTACCGAGGCCATCTTTACTTTCCCAGGACAGCCATTTAAGGCTTGGTCGACCTGTGACGCCCCATATTGTGATAAAAATCCATGCAGCCAGCAGTGGGCTTTGATCGCAGTAGTATGGAATTACGAGTCAGACTCGCAACGCCTAAGCCACGGACGCCGCAGGTGTGTCAGTAAATGAGGCAAAAAATCTGGCGAGAAACTGAGCCTCTTTCAGGTGGGATGTGATGACAGTGATGTTCTGCACCGGACCTGCTACATGATGACAATGAAGGACCCTTGAAAGTTAACTGTATTCGCTTTATTAAGTAACTTATCACAATAGAAATTAGGACAAAAAAGTGCAAAGAAGAATGCAGAAAAGACGCCCAAAAATAGAACTGAAACTTTTTGACCAAAATCTTATCAACAGGCGACAGGATCATAAACGAATTAACAGAAAAATAGCTACTCTATGTTTAGGATTAGCAAAATAAAGGAATGTAAAGTTAAAAAAAAAAAAGTAAGGCAATGTACAATAAATAAAATAAAATAAAAAGTATTTAAAAAAACACAATAAAATGCACAAAATATCGCAGAGAAACTAAAATAAAGGGAAAGGGACAGAAAGTTAGCTTAAATTAAAAAACAGGACAGTAAAGTATAGTATAGTGTAGTGTATAAAGTAAAGAAAGTATGATAAAATAAAATAAATTCAAAACAGGATTTAAGAAAAAAGTATGTAAATAAACATAAGTGAAACAAAGGTAAAATATAGCAGCTTGTAAAGTAAGACTACAGTAAAGTAATGAAAAATAAACTAAACAACATTAAAATAAATGCATAAAAAGATTAGTTTAGTAATGTGAGTTCAGTAAGGACTATACTACAAATCAAAACTACAATAAAGTTAAAATTCAGTAAAGAATCTCTATTTTTATTGATTAATCAGCACTCAAAGAATAACATGGGCAATATCAAGTTGGCCACCTTTATTTCCCAAAACACTTCCTGGAAACACATTTATGTTTTACTGACCAGAAAACCCCCAGTCAATTTTTTTTCGAAAAAATTTTACCTTGAGGGGAATTTAAAAAGATGGCCCAGAGTGAGACAATAAATGTGCTAACCACCACAGTATTATATCTCCCTGTCTATACTACAAGAATTTGCATAATTAAAAACATTATGGTGAAATGTTGATCATAATAATCAAATAAGACTTTGCAGAAGTAGCACTATGTTATGACTATCTAGAGAATAACGTGCTCCTAGCTCTGTCATATCCAAATTACTACAATGAAAAATTAATGAACGAATTATTTTCAAATTGTAATAGTAGTACAACTGAGATATTTCTCCTACAGAAAAATGTGTTGTAACTTTCTATTCAAAATTAACACAATGAAAGAAAAAAGAAAAGCACGGATTACTTTCAAAACTGCAGCAGTAACACAAGTTATTTCTGTTTATAACATTATTTTAACTCTTACCACTCAGTAATTACTACAGTGAAAAAGGAACGTATAAATTACTTTTAAATTGGTAGCATTACTTTGCAGAATGGGGGTTGCCGTGGCTAAGCGGCTAGACGCTCCCCGTGGATCGGAAGGTCGTGTGCTCGCTCCCTGGTGGAGCCGGAATTTTTTCTAAACTTACCTTGGCTCCCAGGTCGACCCAGCATTGAGTGGGTACCGGGTGCCGTCCCGGGGAGTAGAGGTGGCCGGTGTGATGCGGACCACATCACCCATCTTGTGCCGATTGGTCTATAAAATACAGGTCTAGCCCTATATGCCCTATACGCCTAAAGATGTGGAGAAGGGACCTTCACTTACTTTATTTACTGTGCAGAATGGTAAATACCTTCATACATCTGTCATATACTCAGACTAATATAAAAGATACACACTTACACTTCACACTGGCGTGAAAAATAGCTGATATCAAATGGTGTTGTCAACACACAAAAATACAATAAATATCAGCACACACAAACGACACATCAGCATCACCTTCAAGGACATGACATACACTGTGCAGCATGATAAAATGGCTAGCCAGATTATCTTAGTATGTTCAGACCAAAAATTTAAAAAAAACATCACATTGCATGCACAGTTTGCTCGAAACAAATCACAGCTGATCAAATGTATTTCCTTGTCTAGGACAGAATGAATTAAGCCCTAAAACCCTTCTTCTTTTCTATTTGTACGTCCTCTTTTACGGCTTCAGGTGTCAAGGGAGATGTCAGTCCTGCGTCATGCTCCTAAAAGTCTTTGCCGTGTAAAATGTGTTTTTTTCTTCCTTAGCTTTCACTAACTGTAAACTCCAGAGGAAAGGTCTGTTGGTTCAACCACCTCTGGACTTTGGTCTTGTTCTAGAACTGGAGTTTTGCATACACATCTGTTTTACATATCTGGCTTATTTGTAAGCAGACTGTTGGTTCCTTGCCGCTCAGGCAGTTTCACTCTGAATTTAAAGAAAACATGCATAATTAGTCCTTTTATGATTTGAGTTGAGTCAAGAATTGACATTACAGCATTTAGGGCACTCCCATGCATGCTCCGCCCTTATCTTCAGCAACCAGTGCAGAGTTCCAATACTGATGGTACCAGTTTTAACCGTCTTGCCCTTCCTCTGAGTGTACTGAGCCTGCCAGACTCTCTGGTTACACCCAGATGCCTCATTCTCTCCAGGTCATAAAAATCTTCTGTCTCTACTGATTCCATTGCTTGTTCCCAAAGGGCCTCAACCACATCTGCCCTGTTATGTATTAATTCACCACCCAGTGGTGCAGATCCAGCGAATCAGTCTGCCTGTTCACTACCCACCACAATGGCATGGCCTGGAGAAAACATCTAAAGTATGCTTACTACCCGTTATCTTCCCAGTGAAGCATGCTACTCTGTTCGAAGCATCCCTGTCTTCACCTTTCTCAGCTAGTCCTTTTATGATGTGTTTGTTAAGTGAACCTGGTTGCCTAGAAAAAAAACACAACAGCCACAAAATGTGGGGACAGGTTCTGTGAGGTCCTGTAAAAAACTTGAAACTGAGATAAGAGGACAGTGGGACTATTATTTCTTGCCCCAAAATGGAGTCCCAGAATCCACATGCAGAGTTTGTTTCTGTTGATCAGTTCTTTTCTGCTTGCAGCTGGAGTGCCTTATAAACCCATAAACCGATGGAGCAGAATAACATTTTGTAGTGCATTTCCAGGTGCCACAGAAGAAAGTAGCTGGACGCTTATCTGCCAGTCTGTATTTCTTGTGTTTAAATCATGATCAAGGCAGATTTTTATGACTGAGTCTCCCAGCACGACCCAGTCTGAAATGGACACCAGGAAATGAGGAAAGTACCAGTGGTCGGCATGATATTGAGCACATTACCCAAACAAGAACTGACTGATTTAAGAAAGTATGGGTCTTCACTTACTTACTCAGCAATCCTTCTAAGGCAGCTCATCCAAACAGAAAAGCATGAGATGCCAAACCTACAGGCACAGACAAAACAGTGTTGCAGCCGAACCTGAAATTTATAGCATCACCCAACTCCTCCCTGTAATGCTAGCAGAGAGATGCCAGGTTTAGACAGTGCCCTTCCAATGGAAACCAAGCTGGATGGACCAGTGAAAGACTTCATAAAGGCATGTGACCTTCTCATCTGAAAATCACAAGCAGGGAGAACCAAAAAAGAAAGAAGACTGACTTATAATGGTGCATTACCATGTTGCGCAAAGAGAAATGTTTGTAATGCCTCGGATATTAGCTTGCTATCACAATGTCTGGACGAACATCTTCTTAGTGGTAAAGCCAATGAGCCCAGATCCTTTAAGCCTCAAAGAAAGGTTATAATTAGAGACCCATTAGTTCCAGTTATCTTACTTTCAGGCAATGTGCATTTATCAGTTTAAAAAATACCAAAGCAGCACATACAAAGTACCACAAAACAAATACATATAAACAGTTTCAGCAGACAACAAGGTGCTATCAACCAAAGTCAAATAAAGCTGTCTTACCTGGCAGATTTCTTTTTGATTTTAGCAGAACTTTCTGATGGAGGTTCTATAGAACATGACAGTTCATGGCTGGAAAAGAAAATGATTTTATATTATGAAGATATCAACGTAATTTTCATTAATCAAGAGGTAATTTTCAGAATGTCAGGCTATCCTCCAAACAACGAGCACATATTTTGGCGGCCAAAAACACACCCTGACAGGGCCTCATTAGGTCGTGTTTTTTAAAACTTTAAAAACTTGAACTAAAAAATAACGAGGAACGAAAAAAAAGGGAAAATGACGAAATCGACTACCTTGCGATAAATGAGGCCCTTATATCTGAAAAAAAGTGGCACAGAAGTTGCAAATAGTGCTTGAAAATCTTATCTTTGTTCCTGTGGCGCCATTGAAACCTGGCTAAATATGATGAGTGTGCATTGGTAGCGCAGTTCTCACCGCTGAGAGTATCTCCCGCGCCCCTATGCGATGCGCGGATAGGGGCTAAACTAGATGACTGGGACTCACAAGCAAATAATTTGGAGGAAGTTGCAGGAGATGCGGTAGCTGCTGTTCGTGAGTCCCAGCCATCTAGTTTAGCCCCCCATCCGCGCCCCGCGTAGCGGTGCGGGGGATACGCTCAGCGGTGAGTTTATCTGGAAGAACATTATCGCTAACCTGTGTCGGAGCGAGTGGTCTCCCCGCCATGTCACTATTATTGTGTGTATTGTTGCGTTTCTCGAAATTGTCAACGGACAGTAATCCTAGTTTTGCTGCGATGTGTTCGCCGGAGGAAGTCCACAATTTTCATGTGACTGAGGCAATGACAGAGTGTGTTTTTGGCCGCCATAATATTGACGTTATTCGGAGGATAGCCGAATGTCACAGCAGTGCCTGACAGTCACTCTTTCTCTAGGTTTTTTTTCTAGCCCTATATGTGTTCACAGCCAATGACTTTTCAGTGTCTTGTATCCATCTTCACAGAGGTCTGCTTCTGTTTTATTTTCAGAAACTGGAACATCGCCTATGTTCTCTCCGGGCCATCATGAGCGTATGTCAGGGGTGCCACGGCAATAATCAAGAAAAGTCGGCTAAAAATTGTGAAATTATTAACGAAGGCATAAAGAAGTTAAAATTTAAGCTGTCTTTCTGGCCACTGTCGAAAAGAGTTTATTTTGTGTTTCACACTCAGACATGCTTCATATTGCATGACATGCCAACCATAACCTGCTAACAATTGACCTTGTTTTTATCTCCACTGTTTTTTTTATTTTCCTAAAGTATTCGAACCGCTTTAAGCGTAGGGGTGTTGCTAATTCTTTTAACCTCGACAAGAGTGTCACGGCTGAAAAAGATTAAGAACCGCTGGTTTAGATCATGTATGATGTCTGTGTTTTTCTTCTTCATGGTCCATGGTATCTGAAGAATTTTTCTGGAGCATGATCATAATCTTCTTGGCAGTGATGAGACTGTAGCCATTGCAATTATAGTGTTGCCCTCTGCTAAAGATCAGGGAATGTGAGACCATAACCAACACAGAAACACACATACAGACAATCTGCCTACCATAACCAACATAGCAACACACATACACACAATCTGCCTACCATAACCAACATAACAACACACATTCACACAAATCTGCCTACCATAACCAACATAACAACACACATACACACAATCTGCCTACCTTAACCAACATAGCAACACACATACACACAAGCTGCCTACCATAACCAACATAGCAACACGCATACACACAAATCTGCCTACCAAAACCAACATAACAACACACATGCACACAATCCGCCTACCAAAACCAACATAACAACACACATGCACACAATCTGCCTACCATAACCAACATAGCAACACACATACACACAATCTGCCTACCATAACCAACATAGCAACACACATACACACAATCTGCCTACCATAACCAACATAGCAACACACATACACACAATCTGCCTACCTTTCAATATCAGAGTAAACCCGAATGGAATTAAACCAACGCCAGAAGCAGTCATCTTCATTCATTGTATAGATGGATGCTGCAGACTGTAGCAACCGGAGTTGCGCCAGGACCTCAAACTCTTTTCTCCGCTTCTCAAAGTTGATGAGCCCGTCTTCTATTGTGTCGGGAAAGGCAGTGTCGATCATTGTCAGGTCTGTCAGGAATGTGCCCAAATAAGGAACTGTGCCCTGTACAATACCCTAGGGAACCAGAAAGTAAAGCAACTATACCAATAATACTAAAGAATCAGAATTCATTATCTTGTGGTGTTTTTATGTGTTACATGGGGCTCTCAGCTAATGTTTCTACTCTGTTCTTTACTGTGCAACTGTTCTGACAATGAGCATTGGATCTAGTCCAAAATTTCTGGCCTCACTCATCAATATTTATTATCCCTTTCAACATAGGAATACCCAAAAAAATCAATTTAAAAAAACACAAAAAACATGACCCCGCGTTCGAATCCCCCCCCCCCCCCCCCTCCCCCATATATTTTTTAACAAACAACAATTTTACGGTGACTAATAAATTCGTAAAAAATATAAAAAAGTATTTTTTTTTAATTTCTGTTTGTTTGTCTGTCTGTCTGCCTGTGTATGTGCGTGCGTGCGCACACCCGTGTGTGTGTGTGTGAGAGAGAAAGAAAGAATGTAGATAAACGGAAGGAGTAATTAATAAACATGAAAAGGGTTAAGCAGAGCCTTAAAAAAAAGCAAAGGTATCAGGTGACTCATGCCAGGACCCTGTGACCTCTATCACTTAGGCTTATGAGAAAACTCAGTTTGAAAAGTCAACTTAGCTTTAGAAAACACACTCAGCTCAAAGACCCCCCCCCCCCCCCCACACACACACACCTTTTCCATTTGTCCACTTGCTTTTTTGGTTAAGTATTCACATCTTTACCTCCTAAATGTTTGAACTGGCATGAAAACATCCAAAAGCATTAACCATGCGTCTCGTTCCCAGGTCACTATAGACAAATCGGAAATTTACAGGAAACTAGACTCCACCAAAAGTGTCAGTTTTTTCAGCATTTCGGGGAGAAAGATTTCATTTTCTTGGACACCCTCACTTCCAATCCCTTTAGTGAAGGCATTAGAAATTGACCTATGCGCCAATTAAGTATGTCAGATGTTATGAAGACAACCAAGCAGGCCACATCCAAGTAGGTCACATCCAAGTAGGTCACAACCAAGTAGGTCACATCCAAGTAGGTCACATCCAAGTAGGTCACATCCAAGTAGGTCACATCCAAGTAGGCCACATCCAAGTAGGTCACAACCAAGCAGGTCACAACCAAGCAGGTCACAACCAAGCAGGTCACATCCAAGTAGGTCAAAGGTTTCTTACCAGCTGAAACAGACCTGGTCTATCTTATGGTGAAATGAATGAACACAATCAGACTCCAATAAAAGATAAAATGCATTTAGAGATGCAACTAAATTTTGTTCAACAGAAATCTTCATCAATTATTTGAAAAACAAAAAACACGAATCCTACATGACAATAATGATTCACTGGTGTAGTGTAGGTTTCATGTCATTTTCATTGTCCGCTAGATTTCATCTAATTAGCACAATCTGGGCAAGTTTCTAAGACACACTCTGGAGTTTGCTCTAATGCTACTCATCCACTTCTTATAGTCCAAGCTGTGTGGCTTTGGCAATTATGCTTGTCCACAGCCTTCTGTCCTGTCTACTTTAAATCATCTCTGACATAGATGTTCCCCCATGCTTTGATGCAAAATTGTCTACCACTTTCTCTCTCGTTTTTTTTTTAACTTCCTTACTTCCCCTCTAATTTTCCTGCCTTACTTTCCCTCTAATTTTCCTGCCTTACTTCCCCTCTAATTTTCCTGCCTTACTTCCCCTCTAATTTTCCTGCCTTACTTCCCCTCTAATTTTCCTGCCTTACTTCCCCTCTAATTTTCCTGCCTTACTTCCCCTCTAATTTTCCTGCCTTACTTCCCCTCTAATTTTCCTGCCTTACTTCCCCTCTAATTTTCCTGCCTTACTTCCCCTCTAATTTTCCTGCCTTACTTCCCCTCTAATTTTCTTCTTGTCAACAGCTAAAGATAGTAGCGCACCTTTTACAGGAAGTTGCAGAACCCATCTAGGATGTGTGTTTTTTTTTTTTTTTTTTTTGCTGCTTGTGATATCAAAAGGCAAATTTATGTTCAGTAGTTCGGTAATACTTCCTGAATGGCCAGCTCTCAACACCACTGTTAAAACCAACATAAGGTGGTCTGCTGCCAAAATGCCCACAGCTGGGATTAAGCCCAGCCACCTCCAAGAGCAAAATTGTATATAACACAGCTTCCAAATCATCATCTAGTTGGCGATGTTTGATAAAACTAATTTGGGGTCCCAAGCCATGATATCTATTCTCAGATATCAAAGACTGCTGTCATGACCTTGTAGAACATGGTTTTTTAATTCACTGCACAATCGGAATAAAACACCAAACAATGGAAAAGTGGTCCTTACTACACAGCAAATGTAAGTAAGTAAAGGACCCTTTTCCAAGCTTTTAGGCGTATAGGGCATATAAGGCTAGACCTATATTTAACAGACAAATCGGCACAAGATGGGTGATGTGGTCAGCATCATGCCGAACACCTTAACTTCCCGGGACTGCACGTGGTACCCACTTAATGCTGGGTCGACCTGGGAGCCAAGGTCATTTTTCTTCCGATCTGCGCAAGCATCTAGCCGCTCCGCCACAGCTACCCCCACACAACACACGTGCAACAAACAAAAATAGACACAAGAAATGACAAAAGACAAAGGCAAGACATCCAAATGCTCACTAACATTGTCAATCCAGGAGCGTCTTTTCTGAAGATTTTTTCTCTTTAAGCTTCTGCTTTGTGACTCCAGGTCAGGGAATTTGGCTGTGGCTTCCTTGATTAACAATACAGAATATACATTAATATACCAGAATCATATAATGGAGGTCAATGCTGAGTGATAAAGGAATACTTGTAAAAATAAAACAATCATCATCATCATCAGGTGCCTTGCCGATGACGTGGGCGATCATGCCTCTCCATAATCTGCGATCTCCTGCAGCATGTATCAGTTCGTGTGCCGACACACCTCCATGCCATGCAACAAGACTGTCAAGCATCTTCTCTTGATTCTTCCTCTATCTCTCCTTCCGCAGATCTTTCCAGTGGTCACAACATGTTCTATTTTCCCTCTTCTCATAACATGGCCGAAAAATGATGACTGTCTCCTTCTGATGTCTATGATAAGTTGTCTTCTGGCTCCCACCTCTTGCAAAACCTCTTGGTTGCTCTTTTTGGCTGTCCAAGGTATTCTGAGCATTCTTCTGTAAAACCACATCTCTGAGGCCTCTAAAAATTGTTTAGCCTGCCTACCGATTGTCCAGAATTCACAGCCATATCTTAAAACTGGATGTATGTAGCAAGCTAGAATTCTTTTTCTAACTCTCAATGACAAGGATATATTGCACAAGATGTTTTTCATTTTATAAAATGCAGTTTTTGCCTGTCCAATTCTGTTTCTTATCTCAGTTATGCATCTTCCATCTGATGTTATCCATGTGCCCAGATACTTAAATTTCTGTACTTGTCCTAAAATAACACCAGCAACTTTTATTAAACACTTATTATTAAAACAATAAACGTTACAAATTCATCATTATCACTATGTGCTTTGTATAATGTCTTTACATTCATGCTTCTCCACAGATCTTGGTCCATGGTACTGTGGATAAATTTTAGTAAAGATATTCCTTATATATCACTATCATAGATGATCCAGTATAATGCCTCTGTCTCTTCTACTTTATGTCTATTATTTATTTCTGGTAGTCACACACATGTCAGAGATTCAACTGGTCAGACAAATATGTGATTCATCCTAGAGACACTTCAGTTAAGTGATTTTGTGAATTCTTGCCCGTGTCTGTAGTACTGTATACTCAGGTTATGTGTTGATGCAGGTTTTCTAGCCGCAACTTTCACCTGCCGTTTGTGTTTGCAATAATGTGAAGTTGCCTGGTTCTAATTTGTGTTTGTTTGTTTGTTTGGTTACATATCTCTTCTACTGCTGATCATTTTATAAAATGAAGAACATTTTATGCAATAAATCTCTGGAACGGCAGGTTAAAGAAGGTTCTCAAATGCTATGTAAAGCCAGTTTCAAAAACTGGCTCTAAATCCTAGTATATTAATAAACAAGCCAAGCAATGGCTTGAGGCCTCAGAGACGTGTTGCAGAATAATGTTTAAGACTCCTTGAACAGCCATTAAAAAAAAAGGGTAACCCAGAACTTGTTTAAGAGACAAGGGTCCGTAGACAAGTTATCACATATAACAGAAGGAAACAATCCTCACTCATGGCCATATTACGAGAAGGAAACTGGAACATTTGTGACAACTGGAAGGATTTGTGAAAAGAGAGATAGGGGAAGGCAAAGCGAGAAGATTCTTGGCAGCCTTTTACCACAGCCTGGAGGGGTGGATGTCAGCACAAGAGCTGATGAATGCTACCGGAGATGACATATTGTGGTGAGGCATGATCAGCACTGGTACTTGGCAAGGCAATTGATGATGATGAATCTTTCAAGCCACTTCTGGTAATATGTATACTGAAATGCAGTACAGAAGGGCCCGTTCTAGAGATCTCTTCCTCCCCTGACGCCGCGAAGTATGCCAGGAGTAGAGAAAAGAAGAAGACATGCAGTAGCCTTTTCAGTAACATGTTGGTCTGTCTAAGCTTCAGCTTTAAATTACGCTTACCAATATTTATTTGGAACATACTCGAAAAACCATCCTGTGAAAATATCATTTATGAGCAAACAGTTTTTAAAAAGTAGATAAATATTCCAACAAAAAACACATAAACAACACAATGGACAATTTTATGGCCTGAAATAGCTCGCTTTATCTCATCAGTTACATAGTTAATCCTATACAACTGTAGTGCAAATTCACAAACTCTTAAAAGCAACAATGCAACAATTGATCTGTTTAAAAGCAATGGTCAATATAGAATGTGTGTAATTTGAATAACAGGAGCCAAGACTGCCAGGTGTAATGCTTGAATAACAGAAACAATGATCAATGCATGCGTACTGTTTGAATGATGTAAGCAATCATCAACATGTTTAAATAACGGAAACAACGATCAACGTATGGGTACTGTTTGAATAATGTAAACAATCATCAACATGTGTGAATAACAGAAACAACCGGGAAGGTTAACCTGAGCCCTTAGAAGTCGGATGTGTTGGTCTACAGGTGAAAATATCACAGCCGTGTTGTAAATAGGCACAATTCATTTAGGTCTTTGGATGAAGGCAAAAGAAAAAGTATAACAGAAAGAAATGTTCAGCATATGACGGATAAGGTTTAAATAATATAAATAATTGATACGTTTTTACAAAATGAACAACAGAAGGAATAAATCCAGTGAAATGTGACTGAAAAGCTGAACAAATGAAGTAAGGGGAAAATCATACATGTACAAGAAAAACAAGACCTTTCAGCCGGAGCCTTTCTCGATATTACCTACAACAACAACAAAGAGTAGAATACACAGACCACAAGTCCTTTTATGGGGGGATCACATGATTGCCTAAAAAAAAAAAATAGAAAGAACAAAAAGGCATGGAACAAATGAATGAATGAGTAAAATAGAAATAATAATAGTAGTAGTAATCATAAACCAGGGGTAAAAGGAGAAATAATTGTAGTAGTGTTAAAAATAATAGTAACAAAAATGTCAAAATAATAGTAGCAGGAATAAAAATACTAAAGATCCATAAATAGTAAAAGTACTGGACAGAACAAACTGAAATAAAAATATGAAATAAATGAAAATGAGAAAAATAATATTTAGATGGAGGCATGCTGAACATTGATACATGCTGGGCTTAATACACCTACACTATGAATGAGGTGATTTCTAAAGAGAAATGTCTGGTTTGATCACTAAAGCAAGATTTTATTCTGCCACTATAGTCAGAGCTGATGAAATGGAGAAGAACTGATTTGAGTGCTTTCTTTTCAATATTAAAAAGATTTCATGCAACCAATCCGCTAGCTAAATTACAAAAGAAGTTATCTACAACTTGGATTACAGAAGAAATGACAAGTAACATCAGGACAAAGTCCCTAGAATGGATGAAAACTCAGGAGTTCATCAATGCGTGTGTGCTCAGCGACTCAATGAGCATGCTACTGAAGATCAAAGTCAGGTACCTATGAAAACAGTGGCTACATCTGATACAGCAAGCAGTGTTTTGCAAAATCACCTTCATTTTTGTCCCAGGGCATGCTGGTGTGAAAGGCAATGAGAGAGTAGACACCCTGGCTGGCAGTGCGACTTTCAGGAATGGGTCCTCTTTGGACAGGAGAGACATCATCAATGCCATAAGAGAGACCAAATGCTGTGAGGCTTTCAGTTTCGTGGAAAATGATTCTTCACTGAACAGACTGCATACCCCAGGTGTAACAATTGGAGTTAGAGCCGTGAGACAGGAAAACTATGCGAGCCACCAGTCGTTACATCAACCAGAACAGAATGGAAGGTGTTAGCCTAAAAACACTTGAGACTAACTCAGGAAGAGATTGGAGCACTTATGGTCATGTCTGATGTGCCATGAAGATGATCTTAAAAACAAACAGAGAACAATGGTCAGGAACAGTTGAGTTGACTTGAGTTGAGTCAAGAATTGACATCAAAGCATTCGGGCATTCCCATGTGTGCTCCGTCCTCATCTTCAGCCAGTGCATAGTTCCAATACTGATAATAATAAAACCCAATGGTCAGGAACACAGATACAACAACTTACTTTCATCAGAAGCTCCCTGGAGTTAATCTGATTATTCTCCACAGAGAAGATTTCACTCAGCTCCTCAAATAAAACCATTGTGTCTCTGAAAATGAGCAAGGGTAAATCAACTGACATGTAACTATCCGCCATCTCCCTTATACAGCAGTGACTTGACATGTAACTATCAGCCATTTCCCTTATACAGCAGTGACTTGACATGTAACTATCAGCCATTTCCCTTATACAGCTGTGACTTGACATGTAACTATCAGCCATCTCCCGTATACAGCAGTGACTTGACATGTAACTATCAGCCATCTCCCTTATACAGCAGTGACTTGACATGTAACTATCAGCCACCTCCCTTATACAGCAGTGACTTGACATGTAACTATCAGCCACCTCCCTTATACAGCAGTGACTTGACATGTAACTATCAGCCATCTCCCTTATACAGCTGTGACTTGACATGTAACTATCAGCCATCTCCCTTATACAGCAGTGACTTGTCAGGTAAATATCAGTCATCTCCCTTACACAGCTGTGACTTGTTGTCAGGTAATTATCAGCCATCTCCCTTATATAGCACTCTTCTGTCTTTCCAGACAACAGTGCTATACCATACTAAGGGGAGGCAGTGGGCCAAGAGGTTAAAAAAAAAGATGCTGGTATTAAATAGGACACATCTTAAGAAAACCTGAGAACAGTGTAACTAGACTGTCTTTGCACGGAAACCCACAGGGACAGAGAAAAGAAATAAAGGAAAACCACAAATGAAAACATGTGATAGTGAAGGACAGAATGACAGCATGAGTTGGTTGAGGGCCTATGCTGCACTGAGCGTTAGAAAGGCAGAAAAAGAATCACAGCCAATGACAATGGTGAGTGTGACTAGCAAGAGTCACCTATGTTAAAAACAGTCTGCCATAATTAGAGCTTGGAATTTCACGATTGTTGTTGCTATTACAGGTATCTGATGTGCTTCTTCTCACTCAGCTCTTAACCTTTCTGTAATCATTTCTTTACTCATTCCCATTCCCTTCCTGATCTGCCCTCTCCATGCAACAGAGTCCATGGCTTTTTGTTCCCATGAATCTACGCCAATAACTATCATTCATGTCCCACTTGCCAACATCTTTATACCAGAGAACAGGTCAGCTTGAACACCTTATACCCATCTGTGATTCACCATATATATATATATATATATATATATATATATATATATATATATATATATATATATATATATATATACATTTCCCCACACGTTCATCATGATCTCCTATTTTGGAGTTTCTGTGGCGAAGTGCTCGAGCTGTCTGCCTCATGCTCTGAAGGTTTTGGGTTCATTTCATGGAGGCATCATTTAGTTCACGAGTGCAGTCTTTACAGAGTTCACTGGCAATCATCACTTGAGCTAAGGAGTTTATGCATCGCAGGGCCCTCTTGGCACACGGCTAGTCTTTATGTGGAGACAGGAGACAGAACGAGCTGTATGGGATAAAACCCAATGCAATAAAGTTGATTCTCTCAACTTTAACGAAACTTTACCTCCTATTTCTAATTTATTAAATAAGTGGAATGTCAACCTGCTATGCCCTAAACGAAGTAGGTACTCTTCAGTCTGAGCACTCTCTAACAGTCAACATCTTTATTGACACAGTCAGCTGCTACACACGTGGATATCAAACAATGCAGAATGTTGAGTTAAGAATCGACAGGACACTCCCTTAAGTGCTCAGTCCCCATCATCAGCAGTAAGTGAAGAGTTCTAATTCTGATAGTGCCAGTAGCCTTCTGATTGTATATCCATCTCATCCTTCCCTTGAGTGTTGAGAGTTGGCCAGATCCCATGGTAACACTTCGCAGCGGCATTCTTCTCAGACTGTAATGATCTATCTGCACCTTCACACTGTACACAAAGGGTGGATATCAAACAAACAGAAAGTAACTCTTACTTTGGTAAGGCTGACCAGGTTTTCCTCAATCTGTAAACCGGATGAGACTGAAGTCCAGTAATAATTGCTTTCAGAGATGAGAAGTTTTTCAATTCCCGGAGATCCTGGCATGAAAAAAATAACACAAGACAAATGCAAATTACAGTCAATTCTTACCCATATATGAAAGAGTTGTCAAAAAATAATAAAAAATTATTCTGGATATTTAATAACACATAATATTTGTTAAAAGAAACAGCTGCTTTGTGTATAAATGTTTTTTTTTTACCCTTATGCCCCTGAGAAAGCCATTTTCCCAGCTTTTACAAGTTTTGGTTGACATGATGTCTTTGGATAGTGCTGAATATGCCTGCATCACAGCTTTGGTACTGGCTTTAACTGCACAGTGGTTCTGATTATATTTACCCAAAATAATACATGTTTAGTATACCACCAAAAAAAAAATTACATAGGATTTTATCAATTGTGGATTCACTGTAATACTGATCTATGAGGCAAATTTAGCTAACCCCCTTTAAATAAATGGCCAAAGGGAAGAATATCAGTTAATTATTTGCGACATTTTTATTTATTTTTTGCCAATTTAGACATTTAGCAGTAAAATTGTTCTTAAACAAATGCTAGCTGTGGGACATAATGAAAGAAACAGAGAACGTCATGTCTGCCTGTCTTCGAAGTAGTCTCATCATCATGTAGCAGGTCCTTTGCAGAACGTTGCTCTCATCACAATCTGCCTGAAAAAAACTCGGTCTCTCGCCAGTTTTCCTGCCTCATGAACTTTCACATTCAAGGAGTCACTTATATCCTGTGCCCATCTTCGTGTCGGTCGGCCCCTGCCCCTCCTTTCTGGTACCATGCCTTCAGCTATAATTTTTTCCAATCTGTCGTGGCGCTTGATATGACTAAAATATTTCAGCTTTCGAGAAAGGATGCTGTTTATTAGTCAATCTTCCTTGATGTTCAGATCTTTTAAGATGTCAATATTTTGAAGTGGTCTAGTGTTCCTATATTTGACTCTGAGGGTATTAAAGACAAAGTAAAAAAAAAAAAAAAACACACACACACACACACACAGACATTCACATAAATAACATACCTGAGCTATTAAAATCCATTTCTGGAGCACCTTGGCCCTCTGTGAAGTCCGCAGCTCCAATGTCTTGAGCACGGTGGCAACTACTCTCAGAGAGACATTGTTAAACTGCTGGATTGTGGCCTGCACACTGGGAGCATCACTCTGGCCTTCCTTGTCCCTCCGAGACCACACAGCACCCAGACAATGGTGGGGGATGACTTTCTTAAACAAGTTCTGTCAGAGATATTGCACAGAAGAAAGTCATGAAAAGTGAGCAGATGAAGATTCACTATCATCATCCTGTCATACCATTATATTTCATGCGCAGCTAGAGGGTCAGCAGGTGGCATTAAATCAAAATAAGGTAGCAGTAGATAGAAAAATAGATGCGTAAAGAGACAGACAAACAGAGAAAGATAGAGAAAGAAACAGAGAAAGAGACAGAGAAAGAGATAGAAAAAGAGAAACAGACAGCGACAGAGATAGAGAAAGATATAGAGAAAGAGACAGAGAAAGAGATAAAGCAACAGATAAAGAAAGAGTCAGAGAAAGAGTGACATCATTTTGATAAACCGATCATATCTATTTGCAGCAGATTAAAAGAGTAATGACAGCTTAATTATGAAAATAAAAAGTAAAGTAAGTAAAGGACCCTTTTCCACGCCTTCAGGTGTATTGGGCACATAGGGCTAGACCTATATATTTCAGACCAAATGGCACTTGGTGGGTGTTGTGGTCAGCATCACGCCGGCCACCTTACTTACCAGGACTTCACCTGGTACCCATTCAAGGCTGGGTCAACCTGGAAGCCAAGATCATTTTGGAAAAAAATGTCCAGACCCTGTCAAGACCCGAACCCACGACCTTCGGATTCGCAGGTGGGGGTCTAGCTGCTAGACCATGGGGGCTTCCTATGAAAATGAATACATAAATTAAAGTATAATCATTCATGCTGAGCACTCTAATTAAATTAAATTTGAATGTTATTCCTGTGTTTTGTTGTAATACTTTCACATGTTCTACACTGTGTGGAAAGAGGGCCCTAAGCTGGGGTATTAGCAAGCAGCAGTTACTCACAACATGCATTTTGGAATAAGAGATTCTTTGTACCAACAGTTGGGATTTATAAAAGATCCCCTCTTCAGCAAGTTAGACAATTTTGAGATGGAGTCTTCCAGAACAGCGTAAAAGTGCCAGATCTTAACACTAATAAATGTTGTCAACAGCCAATCTCCAACAGTCTACATGTGCAAGACCTAAAAAGAACCAATGCTTGTTGAAGAATTCGTTGTTTAGACTGTCATTAAAAACATCTCAACAACTCCTATCTGTTTCCAGTCAGTGGAGAAAGCAGAGAAATGGAAAAAGAATTAATGGTCCAAAATTTTCACTGCCACAATTGCATCTGTCCAGGCAACAGTGTTCTAATGGCTTTTAGAGAGGCAGATGAATCACAGACAATTAAGGCTAGAGATATGGTTCATCCTCCACATATCATAAAGTTTAGGCAACATTGTAGAGACCAGGTACTGCCCATGCAGCATGATTTCTTAGTCTGCCTTGTTGACTCCAAAGGAAAAGCAACACTAATGTATTTGGATCAAAGTATGCTGCAGAAGCAGCCAGATCAGATAAGTAGTGTTGTTTGTCCGCCTGTCAGAGTTTCCTTCCGAGATCAGCTATCAGCCAAAACTATGGACCTGGTCTACCCTGCCATGTTTTTTTTTTTCTTTTCAGAATGCATTTTGTCATCCTATATAGCATAAATAAGGTTAGTTTTCTTCCTAATGCGCTCCTCCATCTTAACGCATAGGCACAATGTGCGATGCAAAGTTTGGTATATGCAGCACAACATTCAGCATTAAAAGAGAAAAAGCATGATAGCTCAGTCGTATCCTCCATCCAAACTCGTTGGCACAATGTGTGATGTGAAGTTTGGTACATGCCACACGATATTCAGCATTAACAGAGAAATAGTACGATAGCTCAGTCAGATCAGTCTTAACCTAAAATAAACCAAACTCTCAGCAAGTCTTGTTTCTCTCCTCCACACAAAGAAAGAATATTTATGTAGGAAAATCAACAGATATCTTAGAGATACCACATTTTTGTTCTGTTTTTTTGTTGTCGTTGCGCTACACTAGATTTCAGACTCGTCCAGATACATATTTAAAAGAGAAAGAACATTAAATCAAGAAAACACAAAAACAAAAAATGGATGGAACAAGCTGGTGAGCCAGTAAAAAAACATTAAGGCAAGTGTACACTAAAGCAGGTATGCAATACGACTTAATTTCCCAGGAATAATCTTAAAAAGAAATGAGTCAGAGCAAAAAGAAAAAATATACCCAAGAAAATTTGAACATGTGTGTTCACAGATGGTTGGTTTTACTAAAGAAGCCATAAAGAAATGTGTGAATCTACAGACACACACTTCACAGGGCCTCAACACCAGAGCAGGAGCAGCAATCCTACTTCCAATTGTGCAGATTCTTGTCAATTTTAACCAAATAAAAGCTATCATATTCACAAACTGAAACTCTGCCAACCCCCCCTTCTCCCCCCCCCCCCCCCCCCCCATGTTTACTGGTTGGCATGGTACATGATGATGATTATATTTGCTGGCTAACACATCTTTTTTTATAGGGGGGGGGGGGTGGCTGTGGATTGTATATGAGCTAGAGATTTTCCAATCAAATGCATCACTTACAGCATCCTTGTATGTGAGCTGCTCTGCAATTTTCCTGCAGGAGATTTCTAATAATGCCAGAGACTTGGTACTGTCTGTGTCCACTGGATGACTGCTGCCTTCAGTTAATGAAAATGAGAACTTCAGTTGCTGTGCTGTGAACATAACAACAACAGAACAATTTATCAAATATTATTGTCTAGTTTGTTTAATGTGGAAGTCAGTTTTATAGAATAGACACATGCCCCCTCTCACCCACCCTCCCCCTCCTCCCCCACATGCATATAATGAACGGCATGCTGAAATAAGATAGGTTAGGCCAAACGCAACAGATATCGCAGCCTAACCATAAACAACTATACAACAGGACATCTGTCATTTTAAGGGTAAAAGAAGTATAGTGTATGATGAGACCACGAAACAACAATATAATTATTAAAATACCCAGTCTATGACCAGAGAATGAAATAGAACAAAGAAGAAATATAACTGTCTAGTCTATCTAGATAGACTAGTCAATTATATTTCGTGGGAGTCGGATCAACACAAGAGTTACAATTATCTGGTATGTCTATGTTATGGGAACATTCAATTTCAATTCTTACATTCTATTCCATTATCAGTTCCACTCAATCTAGTAAGGACAGCCATGGTAGATACTTGCTGACCAGACTGAATGTTTTGGGTTCGATCGGCATCATGGTAGATATATTTTAAAACTAACTTTTACTCCCAGGTAATCCAGTTTAAAATCCGTAACAGGTGATGTCCTGGCAACTAAGAGTGGGAGGCAAGATGATGACCATATAACTTGCAGAATCAGACATAACAGACAAACTAGAGAGTCATATTTTCATCCACCTAGGAAACGGAATTATGTTCGGGTCCTGACAGAGCCAAACACTTTTCATAAATGACCTTGGCTCCCAGCTCGACCCAGCCTTGAGTGGGTACCAGGTGCAATCCTGGAAAGTAAAGGTAGCCAGCATGGTGCTGACCACATCACCCATCAGGTGCCGATTAGTCTATAGAGTATAGGTCTAGCCCTATATGCCCAACACACAAACAGGCATGGAAAAGAGTCTTTTACTTTATTTATAATAAGTGGATCACACATTAACCCTTTTGACTGAGAGGCTTATTATCTGGCTTCAGCGCCCATTAAAAATCCTGGCTAGTCCCCGACAGCCTATTAATCAGCTTCCGTACTGCCAGCACCTGAGCAGTTTTTCTGATGGACTGGAAATGATTATGTAAACAGGGAGTGGCTGCAGACGAGCTGATTGCTAGAAATGCTAAATATAACACAAAATGTGACTAGAAAACTCAACCGAGCGAATTGAAAAGACGCACACAGACATAACAGAAGGTTTCGACCAAAGTCTTTATCGATAGAGTACTAAATACAGCACAAACAATGAATGTAAATGATTATACTTACTAACACCTTTTGGAGGTGGTTTTATGGTGAAGTCTTAAAAAAAAAGTCATTATAATGTCATAGTTTGTCTTCATTAGTCAAATAGCAACTGGGTACATTTTTTGTTAGAATCAAGGAAATATATTAATTTAATTATCCATTCATATTTACTGAATACTCAATTTCTTATATTCCTATTAAACGTCTTAAATGTAAAAAAAAAATACCGTATTTATACATTTTAGTGACCTGTGTAAACTGTTTTTTAAACTGATTTTTGGGGAGAGTTGGGGGGGGGGGGGGGAGTGAATTTTTCTGGTGCCGGATCGTTTCCAATAGTCTCTGTGGCCAAAGGGTTAACAGATAAATCTCAGTTGTCGGATCTGTCTATACTCTGAGAATTACATTAAACGATATAAGACAGTGGTTCCCAAACTTTTCTTAGTCGCGACGGCTTTGTTCGATTAAAATTTTTCCGCGGCGCCCTAACCTAAGTTCGTATTAAAAAAAACAAAAAAACTTGTATCCGAACATTATGTCACACCCACGTGATGAGGTCGAGGCTCCCCGGAGCGCACAGTTCGGGAATCACTAATATAAGAAATAGAAGTATCAAGTATCAATTCGTATGTAAGAGTTTAAAAAAAATTGTGTATCTTCAAATATTTCCGAAAAGGTCGCAGCTCCCCGGAGCTCACAGTTTGGGAATTACTGATATAAGAAATAGGAGTATCAAGCCTGTATTTATTTATCTTTAGTTACTTCTTGTAATCAGCTTGACTGCAGTCACTCTTATTTATACAGTAGGACAGTGTAACAGCATGCTTGTCTGCTGGTATGGTCTAATCCTGCTTCAAAGAGAACTGTTAAAACTGAACTGCTGCATTGTCACTTCTAAGCACTTTCTGATTTGTGCATCAATAGTCCATGATTTAATACCATACAACAATATAGGTTCTAAAAATCACTTTAGTACTTTCTTTCAGACATCCAAAGAAAGGGAACTGTTGCACAAGATGTTCTTCATTCTGTGAAATGCAGCCTTAGCCTGGCCTATTCTGCTTTTAATTTCTGATACATATCTTCTGTCTGATGTTATGACCGTACCGAAATATTTGAATTTATCGAAGTAGATTAACTTTTTACCTTCGAATCTAATATCAAACTGTGGCTGTATTATTTTTTCATTACCTTCGTTTTCTTTAGAGTCAAGGACAAATACTTTTTGTGTGTGTGCTCTCCCTCACTACAATGTCCAATATATATGTACCCAGAGGGGTACAAAGTTAATTTTAATTCTTACATTTTATTATATTTTCAATTCAATTTTAGCTATGGGTTATCTAGTAGCGGCAGCCATAGTATGGATGCTTGCTTGCCGCACGGAATGTCTTGGACTCAATCTGCACTGTGGTAGTTTTAAAACAGACCTTTGCTCTCAGGTAATCCAGCTTCAAATGGGTAACAGGTAAAAGTGAGAGTGGCAGGCATGATGCTGACCACACCAGCCACAGAGTACTGACCACACCAGCCAGAGTGCTGACCACACCAGCCACAGAGTGCTGACCACACCAGCCACAGAGTGCTGACCACACCAACCACAGAGTGCTGACCACACCAGCCACAGAGTGCTGACCACACCAGCCACAGAGTGCTGACCACACCAACCACAGAGTGCTGACCACACCAGCCACAGAGTGCTGACCACATCAACCACAGAGTGCTGACCACACCAGCCACAGAGTGCTGACCACACCAGCCACAGAGTGCTGACCACACCAACCACAGAGTGCTGACCACACCAACCACAGAGTGCTGAGCATACCAGCCACAGAGTGTTGACCACATCAACCACAGAGTGCTGACCACACCAGCCACAGAGTGTTGACCACACCAACCACAGAGTGCTGAGCACACCAACCACAGAGTGCTGAGCACACCAACCACAGAGTGCTGAGCACACCAGCCACAGAGTGTTGAGCACACCAGCCACAGAGTGCTGAGCACACCAACCACAGAGTGCTGAGCACACCAGCCACAGAGTGCTGAGCACACCAGCCACAGAGTGCTGACCACACCAGCCACAGAGTGCTGAGCACACCAGCCACAGAGTGCTGACCACACCAGCCACAGAGTGCTGACCACACCAGCCACAGAGTGCTGAGCACACCAACCACAGAGTGCTGACCACACCAACCACAGAGTGCTGAGCACACCAGCCACAGAGTGCTGAGCACACCAGCCAAAGTGCTGACCACACCAAGCACAGAGTGCTGACCACACCAGCCACAGAGTGCTGACCACACCAACCACAGAGTGCTGAGCACACCAGCCACAGAGTGCTGACCACACCAGCCACAGAGTGCTGCCCTTCTATGAAATTATGAGTCCAGTATCATATTTGAAGTGCCAGTGGGGTCAACAACAACAATAACAATCCTTTACCAACTGTAAAGCTGCAGCTTAGAGGTTAGTGAATGCGGTCAACAATTTCATAATCCTTAAGTACTAGTGTTTGTCCCCCCATGGTGGACAGTTAAAAAAAAAGATTTGGGGTATCTCAGTTTACTGACAATGTTGCAAAAGTCATGTAGAAAAAATTGGGGCCTTGCCACGTCATATTCCCAAAGACAGCAGTGGCACACTGGAGCCAACCTTCATCGTGGAGACGGTGGAAAGTGTTTAAACTGTGCTCATCTTCACCGATAATCTAAGTGAACTCACCTGCAAGCTCAACGTCTTCTTGCCGAAATGCTGCAAGTTTCTCCTTGACCTTCCTGCCAATGTCAGTCCCAGGAGCATACTCTCTAGCAAACTTGTCCAATACGTGCAGGCAAATATAGTCTGGGCTGTCGTGGAAATCTTCAGGGTATGTGTCAAGCCATACAAACACCACTGACTTCAATGATCTATATTATCATATACAAACAAGCCTGAGGTCAATGATCCACATATACAAACAAAATTACTACTAACTGCAATCATTTGACTATCACATACAAACATGAATGGCTTCAGTGATCATTACTAGGGGGGCTGAGTGGTCTTGAGGCATAGCGTCCATCTCGAGTGCTGGAAGTTCCGGGTTCAGGTCCTGGCAAAGGCTAGGATTTTTCACGTGGACTTCTAGTAATCTCCCCTTGTCTCTGGCTCGTACAATCAGATGCCCGTGTGTACTGTTAAGCAGGTTAAAAAAAATCCCTTGGCAGTTTGAAATCGAAAAGAGTAGCTTAACAGAGCGGCCCGGGAAAAATTTGGAGTAAAAAATCTAGCCAAACTATTTCAGGATCCTCGCCGGTGCTATGGAGTTAGTGCACAGCACTGAGATTCTTCTGAATCAGGTTTGAGTTAGAAGTAGAACGGAACACTATGGGTTACTACCCTTATGCCATGATGTTGATTCGTTGTATAAACCAAGAAAAAAAAAAGAACAAAAATCATTACCATCATATAAAAACAAAATTAACAATGATTTCAATGATCTATGCCATCATATATATACAAACAAAATTACCACTGACTTCAACAAACAAAATTACCACTGACTTCAATAATTTTTAATATCATATACAAACAAAATTACGACTGGCTTCAGTGATCTATGCCATCATATACAAACAAAATTACCACTGACTTCAATAATATTTACTATCATATACAAACAAAATTACCTCTGACTTCAATAATAATATTTCCTATTGTATACCAACAAAATTACCACTGACTTCAATAATCTTTACTATTATATACAAACAAAATTACCTCTGACTTCAATAATAATCTTTCCTATTGTATACCAACAAAATTACCACTGACTTCAATAACTTTACTATTATAAACCAAAAAAAATTACCACTGATTTCAATGATCTATGCCATCATATACAAACAAAATTACTACTTATTTCAATAATCTTTTCTATCATATACAGAGCAGTGGTGGGTTGCATTGTAATGAACATATCCTCTTCTTCTTCTGTGTAATCAAAAGATGGTTAACATGTTGTGTTGTGGTTTGCAGCTAGGCTGCAATATGTGTGCCTTTTGGTCCTACACATCCAAGTTCTGTTATTCTTCATTTCCTCTTTTACTGTTTCATGCATCAAGGCAGGCATAAAGTTCTGCTTTTTTAGCTGCCTCATTCATAAACACACTATGTTGTTGAAAATTTCTTCAGACTATCTGTCCATCTTGTTCTTGGTCTACCTTATGCTAATCTTGTAGCTGGCCTTTCTGTCTCACAGTCCTTCAGCATAGTCGAATGTCGTCTGATCAGTCCATTTATATCTCACTGTATTTCCAGCAAATCCACTGCTGGCTTGCCAGGCCTGTCACGACTTCACCAGAACCCTGTTGGCAATGGACGTTTCAGTAATCACCTACTTTGCCCTGTAGGTGATTACCACCTCTCAGTGTGGATGTACCACTTCGTGGTGAACTGATGCATGTCAAGCTAGTGTTGCCATGGCCCTTTGGAAGTGAGTAAACAGTGCGAAGGCACAAACAGATCATTACAGTCTGTGCAGAATGGCCTTGCGAGGAGTTACCATGTGATCTCACCGGCGCTTAAAACTCAAAGACAGTTACTGGCACCATCAGAACTGGAACTTTTTGCTTGCTGCTGAAAATAGGGACAGTGCGCTTATAGTAGTGTACTGAGCACTGTGATGTTGATTCTTAATTCAACATTCAACTAATTTTGTCCTGTTACCACCTCTCACAACATGGATGTGGGATTGTGTTTTGAGAGGGTCAATTTCAGTTAACCCTTAATTGATTACCTTTTATGACTTGTTATTCTTTAAGGAGCAGTGGATATCCCCCCCCCCCCCAACCACCACCACAAGGAGAATAAACACATGAGACCCAGAACCCACCTGGGGATTAGTGATGATGATAAAGAAGAACTACTGGGAAACCAACAGAATTTAGTTCCCTGGTTACAAAATATAAAAGATCAAACACAAACACAAAATCCATTGAACAGGTTCTAAATTACCTGTGTTGTGTTTCATAAAGCTCTGATTTATCTTCTTTTATCTGAGAACACAAGAGCTTGTACCTTTCATACAAAAGACAGAGAGTAACAAATAAGCATCAGTTGAAGTTTCATTCTGTGAAATGTTAACAACAGGTGATGTTATATAAACACTTGATTTGTGTACAGTAGCCGGATGGTGGTGATGGTCTGGCTGCACTTTTAGCACCCTACCAGATGAAGCAGTTCTCAAACTCATCTGAATGTAATTTATGTTCAATGATTTGTGTACAGACACTAATTTGCAAAATACTCACCGTAGGCTGCAATTTCTTTCTGTAGGGGCACTGCACAAACTGGGTGGGCTGTTCTTGACATTGTAACATAACAGAAACCTTGACCCCTATTGATGGAAGCACTGGCACATAAAACCTGCCATCTTCCACTTGCTTCCACTTGTTCAAAAAGTGTATAGTAATTTAGTCCTGTCTATTCAATGAAGTCATCACACTATCTTCTTTGGTCCCCATCTTCTTCAACTTCCCCCTTATGTTCCATGAAGTATATATTGCAATCAAAATATGTCTCAACATGTGCCCGAACCAGACTTGCTTACGACATTTCAAGACTGCCAAAAGAGGTACCTGATTTCCTACAATTTACTTATTTTGTCTCTTACATATTTGTTAGTGTTCTGTTTTAAATAGTCAATGTGTAAAATTCATTTGCAGCATTAATGTTAAAAAACCTGAATACCCCTTTCCATTTCTGCAGTGACAGTCCAACTCCCACATCATTATAAAAAGACAGCTCGGCATCACTTGGTGGTGAATTGATGTATGACAGGTTAGATATTGTGAGGGTCCTTTGGGAGAGAGTGGACAGTGCGGAGGTGCTAATAGATCATTACGGTCTAAGGAGAATGGCACTGCGAGTAGTTCGCATGGGATAGTTGATGCTCAACACTCAGGGAAAGTATGAGACGGATATACAATCAGATGGTTAATGGTACCATCGGAATTGGAACTCTTCGCTTGCTGCTGAAGATGGGGAGTGAGCACTTATGGGGGTGTCCCGAGTGCTATAATGTTGATTCTTAATTTAACATTTATAAGAAGAGAGAAAATACTAAGACAACACCTAGCTATTGTGCATACAGAGGCATCCTCTGCCTAGCACAGTTACAGCTAGCACCAGTACTGAAAACCTTTTAGCTTCTCACCAGGAGAGGGAGACCGACAGAGAGGATGCTGACCAGTTTGACATCATGGCATGGAAGATGATCTGCTTCAGAAATGATTAACAGTACACAAGACGGAAGGTTGTGGACAGACATGATCACTAACGCCCCACAGCATGGACTATAAGAAGACATTAAAATCACTTTCCTATAGAGTCGCCGTAGTGTAGCAGCTGAGCGCTCACCTGCAGATCAGAAGGTCATGGCTCAAGACCTGACAGAGCTGGGCTTTTATTTTCTTAAAAAATGACCTTGGCTCCCAGGTAGACCCGGTCTTGAGTGGGTACCAGGTGCAGTCCTGGTAAGTAAAGACAGTCAGTGTGATGCTGACATCACATACCAAGTGCCGATTGGGCTATAAAATACAGGTCTAGCCCTATATGCCTATAGGCATAGAAAAAGGTCCTTTACTTTTATACATTACTAAACTTGCATAAGTATTAATGCTTCTGGATATGGTTGCTGCCAAATGTAACAAAATATCAAATTCAATTTAGGGCTCATATAATCTAGGTTTAGAGAGCTGTGTCCAGTCTACCTACAAGACAGCAGCTTTAAGCACATTCCTTTTATCTGAATCCTACCTAATGTCCTTTCCAACAGGGTAACGGTGCCAGCAACTTCACTAGTGTTGACACTGCTCTTGTGATCAATGGGCTACAAAAACCTTTGTACAAAAGGTTAGGGCCATGGAAGTCCCTATACAACTACTGTTTTAAAGGTGGGAAAAGTAGCACAGCATTGAATGCTTCATGACCTAGACTGACTGATAAGAATCAGTCTCTAGAGCTGGACCAGTTATGTGACCTGGGAACAAAACCTGGTCAAGCATATTTATTATGTCATCTTTGTGATCAAGATAGGTGACATTATAGCCAATTTCTTCAAATAAAAGAAGGGTAAAAGTACCCTAAGATGGCTGCCACAGCAATGCAAAGATTAAACAGCATCAAAAGTCCTTGATTCAGCAATGAAATCAAAATCAAAATTTTCAGAGCATGCATATTCCCTGTAGCAACTTAAAGATGTGAATAATGGACTATCTCCCGGTTCTTACGAAAGAAAATAGGGGCTTTTGAGCTGAAATGCTATAGAAAGATTCTCAGAATACCATGGACAAAAAAGAGAAGAAATACTGACATTTTAAAAGATCTGAACATCAAGGAAAATTGGCTAATAAACAGCATCTTCACTTGGAAGCTGAAATATTTTGGTGATATCAAGCACTATGGCTAACTGGAAAAAAAATAACAACAGAAGGCTTGGTAAGGAGGGGCAGGGGATGACTAACATGAAGATGCGCACAGGATATAAGTGACTCCTTGAATATGAAAGGTGGAAGAGCTGGCGAGAGACCAAGTTTCTTCAGGGAGACTGTGATGAGAGCAGCATTGTGCAAAGGACCTGCTACAAGATGATGATGATGCTGATGATGATGACGAAGACGATGATAACGAAGACGATAATGGCTGTGTTACTGGAGGGCTGACCACACATGAGAATGCCCAATGTGCCATGACACTGACTGCGATTATGTAACATGCTTCATTACCTACCTCTCTATCAAGGTATCCAGCACTTGGCGAGGGGTTGCAAAAGTCCTGTATGTAGCCAGGAAGATGTTGACATAACTTGAGTCCATCTCTCCTCTGCTATTGGTCAGACTTTCCACCAGCTTGGCCAGTGTTCCCGCACGGATGACTCTCACCTTGTGCGTCTCCCACATGAGGTGAGAGAACTCCCGATTTTTCTCATTCTCGTCTTCCAGCTGTTTGAGCGCAAATAAAACAAACAAATTGAAAATTAGGAAAGAACGAAAATTAAGGAAAGAATTAACCATACCAAACCTGAGGCCCTGAACCTAACTGCCCCCTATACCAGAGCTCCTGTGCATCAAAAACCAACATAATATACAAAAATATTAGTTACATGCAAACAAGTGGTTAGAATAAGTTGAAACTTGGAGACATTGTAGAAAATAGGATTACCTTTCATCTAGCGCCAACATTTCCCTTTTGTGTGCAATTCCACCCAGAAAGTTCGGCCTTGTTTCACAAAGTGAGCAAAAGATGTTTCTGTTTGAGGGACACACTCCCTTCTCTTACTATCAATCTAGCTTTAAATCTATAATTTTCAAGATTCTCCTCATCACTCGAGCTCACACGGACTGTATCACTTTAACTAGGAACCTATTCTTCACGAAAGTCTGACTACTCAGAGTCAAAATCAACCAAAGTATCGATCACCTGTTGGACTGTAAAAAGCCTAGACCTACTTCACTTTGCTGTGAAAGTGCCTGGTTCATCAGCCGCTCGTTTTTGTGTGAATTTTCAGATAATTTTTTCATGTCAATCCACACAACTCGCAATGACTAACCACGAGGTCTGACCATGAGTGACTAGTTATTTTAAGTTTGTGACACATTCTTTTCACGTAGTACACAAATTCCCAACATTGAGGGACACCGCCTTAGCGGCAGATTAGGAAATTCCTGTAATAGCAGGACATCGGTCTGGTAGAGTTAAAATGTACAACAAACATCATCACCAAGTGCCATGCCGACTGGTGTGGGTGATCATGCCTCTCCACAATCTGCAACACGCAACTGTGTCTATCAAGTTTACATTCCTCCATGCTATGATAAAAGGCTGTCAAGAATCTTCTCACTGTCTTCCTCTGTCTCTCTTCCCACACATCTCTCCAGTAGTAACTATATGTTCCAGTTTCCCCTGCTCATAGCATGACCACAATTTATGACCGTCTCTTTCTGATGTTGGTGATGAGCTGTCGTTGAGCCTTCTTTGTCTCTTTCATAACACCTGGGTTGCTCTTTTCCGATGTCCAAGGAATTATAACTATTCCTCTGTAAAAAGACATCTCTGGTCTCAAGAAAATGCTTTGCTTGTTTATTAATTTTCCAGGATTAAAACACAGTAAACAAGGAATGTCACACACAGTAAACAAAGAAAACCACATAGTAAACAAGGAACGTCACACAGTAAACAAGGAACATCACACAGTAAACAAGGAACATCACATAGTAAACAAGGAACATCACACAGTAAACAAGGAACATCACATAGTAAACAAGGAACATCACAAAGTAAACAAGGAACATCACACAGTAAACAAGGTACACCACACAGTAAACAAGGATCACCACACAGTAAACAAGGATCACCACACAGTAAACAAGGAACATCACACAGTAAACAAGGAACATCACACAGTAAACAAGGAACATCACACAGTAAACAAGGAACATCACACAGTAAACAAGGTACACCACACAGTAAACAAGGGTCATCACATAGTAAACAAGAATCACCACACAGCAAACAAGGAATATCACACAGTAAACAAGAAACAATTTAAAGTCAAAGATGCAGACATTCAAACAAACTCACCCTAGCCTGAGACAAATATGTGACCTTCTTCAAATAGGCATGATACACTGCTCCTTCTTCCCTTTCTTCCCGCCAGAATCGAGAAGTGTCATCCTGAAAGACAGACAAAACAGCATTATATCAATCAACAGAAACACAATTTAAATATCAGAAAAGCTTTAGTGTGTAACCATATTAAGAAAAGAGTATTGAAATCACAGGAGCCATCGTGGTGTAGAGGCTAAACACTCACTAGTGGATCAAAAGGTCATGTGTTCAGGTCCAGATAGACTGATATTTTTCAAAACTTACCTAGACTCCCAGGTCAACCCAGCCTTAAATGAGTGTTAGATAGTCCTGGAAATTAAAGGTGGCCGGTGGGAGTGCTGATTAGTCTAAAAATATAGGTGTAGCCCTATATGCCTAAAGACACTGAAAAGGGTATTTATTTGTTTATTGTTATTTACTGAAATGTTATACAGAACTGTTTTGCTGTATTGCACTGAATATGAAATGCAAATAATCAAATTAGAAAAATGATGTGTGACCGCTGAGATTTCATTTCTGTGTTAAATGCTACAAATATCTTTGACAGTCAGTAAAAATAAGGATTGCCTGGAATAAAATTATCAAAAGTAGAAGGTCAAAAATAATAAAATATATAGTGTCCACTAGGCATGTGATTAGAAAGAGAACTGTGACAGCTGGAAAGACTTTCTTAGATAAGACAAAGTCAGACCAAGAGTATTTATGCTAGATGGTTTCAGATAGTGACAGAAGTATACAATAAGAGTCTTATTAGTCATATTATGGACAGACCAGGGCACGTTATTATTCTATGCCTTAGAACAGGGCACAACTGACTTTGCAACCACAAGTACACAGAATTTAAGACTTGTGAATCAGCCATGTGCACATGTTGACTGGCACCTGAGACAACAAATCCCGCTCTCCAAGACTGTCTGTCCCAAATACAACATTTCCAGGCAGAACTTTTGGCCAAGAGAGACACTGGTGGAAGGCTAAGTTTTTCGACTAAAAAGTGAATTACAAAAGACAGAAAAGTTAATACTAGAGACAGCATTGCAGACATAGATAATTTATTTCAAGCGAACGAAAGAAAAAGTCTTGATCCAGAACCCCAAGGATTAGGATCTTGGAAGAGGAATAAATGTGTATGAAGAGGTATAAATGTGTATGAAGAGGCATAAATGTGAATGAAGAGGTATAAATGTGTATGAAGAGGAATAAATGTGTATGAAGAGGTATAAATGTGTATGAAGAGGAATAAATGTGTATGAAGAGGCATAAATGTGAATGAAGAGGTAAAAATGTGTATGAAGAGGAATAAATGTGTATGAAGAGGAATAAATGTGTATGAAGAGGTATAAATGTGTATGAAGAGGCATAAATGTGAATGAAGAGGCATAAGTGGGTATGCCTTTATGAACGACACCAAATGAAGATAAGTGGGTTTCAATGTGTAGATCAGTGGCCTCAAACCTCTTTCAAATGATGCCCCCCCCCCCCCCCCCCCCCACGAATAAGTATCGGCGTCTGTGGTTTAGGTGTTGCAAACACACTTCATAATGCCGGGGCATTGGGTTCAATCCCAGCTGCAGACGATTTGTCTTGCATTGGTTTTGATAGTGGTACCGAGAGTTTTCTGTACAGAAAGCAATGGCAAACAACTAAACATAAAATTTGCTTAGAAAAACCACAACAGCCAACAAATGCTGGGGTTGGTTCTGCAATGTCCTGTAAAGGATTCACAACTAACTTTACTTAAAATTAGGGTCGTTTCTGGGGTCTCATTCTAGGGGGAAAAAAGAACAGACCTACTGCAGCCTAACAATATATCGTGGCTGAGAAGCAAGAAAACAACAGTCTGCGTATAAATAAGCAGGACTTTTTTCAAAACTGGTTGCCAAATTACCTGTAACTAAAAACGGACCAGGTATTTCAGAATTAAAAGTGTGTTCACAACATCTAAGTCACAGATGCTGACACAAAATAGAGAAACCTGCCTTAAAAAAAAAAAGGATTCATTTACATATAATTGTGGTACATTCATACACACCTTAGACACCCAGTCAGAATGGATGCTAGGCATGGCTTCTGTTTTAAGCCATTGCAAATATTTTTGCTTCTGCCAGGCAGTGGCCATTGCATTTTTGCTCCATTTGTAGACTGAAAGGATATAGTTTTGTTGCCCAGCTTCTGAGTTGAGTGCATGATGTGATACTGTGAGCTGCGGATTTCATTTGGAATGTTTTTCGACTGTGACTAACGTGGTGGTGTGAACTGTAGATTCAAAAAATGGTGTGATGCCGGTTGTCGCAATATTAGTGGTGCCATTATGTCATTAGAATTGATCGCGTGTGCAGCTGTTGATCTGTTGGTGACTTCTGCTACCATTCATGATGAACTGCATTTCTATTGTCAGACTGTTTGTGTTAGCACTTCGGATGGCTTTCGTATGCTTTTAATGTGTGCATGCTAGTACATATGCTAGACAACAGTCTGTCAATCTTTCCACAAGGGACTGTGATAAACATTCTGTGTGTTTTTTATTGGCACAGAAGCGGAGCAACTATGGGGTGACCTGTCTGCTATGAAGATCAAACTAAGATTACCAGATACTCTGTCAAAAGTACTGCAGAGTAGTGAGATCTCTTTTTTTTTCCTATGATTCTACGAACATGGAAAAAAAACGGAAGAGAAGCCAGTCTACTGACGGGGGCAACCCTGTACAAAGAGCAGCAATTGTAATAATTAGACCAAATCAACAAAGGCCTACGTTAGAAACTGATAAAAAGAGATGTTTTAGTTCTTTATATACCAAAACAACTCATTGTGTACTATGTACTTATGAGCACCAGCCAACATATTACGTGTTATAAATTACATTCAATGAGGTCATACAACACACATAAAATACATTAACAACACACATCCTCCTACAGTGTGAATGTATACAGTATTATATACAATATCAATATACAGTAATAACAGTAATTTATTGTGTGAAGTATGATGTTTTTATCACTGATGTCTCAATCGGGAATCAGCTAATATCACCTAATTCTTAACACTTTCAGTATGTCATTATCAAGGATCAAGAGGCACAACACAGACCAGAGTATTCAGACTCAGTGAAAAGAGGTCGAGAGTCTAAGTTGACTAGATCACTAGATCAGCAGTCAGATCATTCATTTACTTTACTTGGATGACAGTGACAGCGTTCCGTTCGACGATTTTATTTAATCATTCAACCACTGATACTGGCAAACATCCTAACTAACCTGCTGTTCAGAGCGATCAGTTTCCATTCCTCTACAGGAACTGACCACGTAAGACTGGTGCCCACATTCTTCTATCTAGTTTCTGCTACAGCAATCCGTAATTTATCTCTGTGATCCAGCCTCTTCCTTATTATCACTGGTTTGATAACAAAAGCAGAAATCTACTTCCGCTGTCTATCGCCAGGGATGCGGTATGTTTCAAAATTTGTGGAGGAAAAAAACGGCTTTCCGTAAACGGTGGTACCTCGGACTGCGAACGCTTCTAGTCAAGAATAAATCAGCCCATGAACACAATTTTCGAACCAATTTTGACTCGAACCGAGAACAATGCTTCCGTCTACAAACATTCAAAAATGGTTTGGGTACCATATTTTTGGCTTCTTCTTCTTCTTCTTCTTCTTCTTCTTCTTCTTCTTCTTCTTCTTCTTCTTCTTCTTCTTCTTCTTCTTCTTCTTCTTCTTCTTCTTCTTCTTCTTCTTCTTCTTCTTCTTCTTCTTCTTCTTCTTCTTCTTCTTCTTCTTCTTCTTCTTCTTCTTCTTCTTCTTCTTCTTCTTCTTCTTCACTTCCTCTTTTACCGCTGTGGGTGTCGAGGGAGATATAAGGTTCTGTTTCTAGCTATTTTTGGCTAACAGCATTAATTGCTTTCAGGTTTAAGAATTGTGAACCTTGTTTGTCATTGTAGTATTCTGGATATAATCCCCCCACCCTCCCCCCCTCTCCATTTTTTGTGTATCAAATTGACCCTAATTATGGCTCACGAGAAAGTGAGGGGGAAAGCATACAATGGAGTAAAGAAGGCTAAGCTAAAATAAAAGGATAAATAACTATTCACAAGAATGGTGTTTGTGTTTAATGATCTTACCCATCAGTACAAAATGGTCTAATCTAAGATCTGTCTATCTTAAGGAACAAAGTGGCGCTAAAAAAAGCGAATGTGGCAAAGGAGTAACCATGTTAACGAAGCAAAGGACTCAAGAGTTTGTATGTGTGTGTGTGTGTGTCTGCTTGTGTTTCTGCATGCGTGTGTCTGTGTATGTATCTGTGTGTGTGTGTGTCTCTCTCTCTCTCTCTCTCTCTCTGTGTTTGTCTCTGTGTGTTTATGTGTGTCAATGTGTGTGTCTGCGTGTGTATGTTCGTGTAACTGTGTCTGCGTATTTGTGTTTGTGTCTGCTTGAGCGTCTGCGTGTATTTTTGCGTGTGTGTGTGTGTGTGTCTATGGGTGTGTGTGTATGTGTGTTTGTCCATGTGTGTCTGTGAGTGTTTGTGTGTCTGTGGGTACGCCTGTATGTGTGTTTGTGTCTGTGTATGTGTGTCTGCGTATGTGTCTGCATGTGTATCTGTATGTGTGTCTGTGTGTGTTTGTGTGTATGTCTGTGTGTTTTCGCGTGTGTGTCCTCTTGTGTGTATCTGCGTGTGTTTATATGTGTCAGTGTATGTATCTGTGTTTATCTGGGTGTGTGTTCGTGCGTGTATGTCTGCGAATGTGTCTGTAAATGTATGTGTGTCTGTGGGTGTACGTACGTACGTATGGATTTATGTATGTATATGTATGTGTAAGTGAGTGCTTGGGCATGTGCATGTGAGTGTGTGCATGCACCGATGCTTTTGTGTTTTTTTCTTGATATTTGTAATATGTTTATTATTATATGTCGGTCTGTGGCTAAGTCGATGTGAACGCTTCATAATGCCGGCTTCGATCCCAGCTGCGGACCATGCGCCTTGCGTTGGTTTTGAAAGTGGTATCAAGAAAGCCGACCGTCCAGTTGGCAATTACAAACTACTGTACGTAAATGTGCCTAGAAAAACCACACATTGGTTCTGCAACGTCCTGTAAAGTATACGCAACTAACTAACCTTTATTAGATAAACATAAAATGCTTTATTGAACAAAAAACGACGCTGTTCCTCTTTGGGAGGATCTCACGTAAGACGGGTCTGCGTGCCCAATTTGTGACCCTTTGAGAGAAAAGTTCATTCGTGTGAAGTAGAAAAACTATTGTTAGCCACCGATCCAGCAATCGAACCACTTCACAGGATACAGAAAGGAGAAAATAATACGTGCTGAGTTGCATTAGGATGGAATGGGACTTTTCTTCGAAGTAGTCTTCCCCTCTCTCTCTCTCTCTCTTTCTCTCTCTCTCTCTCTCTCTCTCGCTCTCTCTCTCTCTCTCTCTCTCTCTCTGTCTCTCTTGTTGTACCCTACCAGTACATCGCACCACAACGATAAACACTCGGTGACACAAAGTGCCACCATGTGGAGGAGGATCACCTGTGGGGTCCCTGGCAAAAGCCATGGTGGGGCGTCAAATAACCAAAGAATGCATCCAACATGATAAGGACTAAATTAGTAGTCTTCCCCCAGCTCGTCTACCATTTACCTGTACCAGCAACAGTCAGACATTGAGATAACGTTTTACTGTATATTTTATATTATATATTTTTGTCACACATAAATCCATTTAAGTTTTTTTTTTTTTTACTTACGTTTCTAAGGTTAGCCTTGATTTCAATAAGTAAAATGTTTCGGCTTAAGAACTTTCCGGCTCGAGAACAGTCTAAAATGTAATTAGTAACCTGAGGTACCACTGTGTTCTTATCTAAATAAACATTCTAATTTTAATCTTGTACGATCCAAGGATAATAGAAATCAGTTCCGTTAACAAGTGGTTTCTTTGTATTAGTATTTTATTATTATTATTATTATTATTATTGTTATTATCATTCAAAACAATAATATGTTTAGTTGGCCTTTGGGCAGATGCACGAGAGTTGAGCTTAGAAGATATTGTAATATCCACATATAGCAAAGGTGAATGGCATCTTTATTGAAAATACAGCACATTTTTTTAAACGTTTCTTTTCCTATGTTTGCTTCTTCTTCTTCTTCTTCTTCATCTTCGTCTTTTTCTCCCTCTCCTCCTTCTACTTCCCTATCCTTTCGTCTCTACTTTCGCTTTTGTCTTCTTCCTTTTATTCTTTTTTTTTAATTCCTAATTTAAAAACCTTTCCCCCCCCCCCCCCCCCCCCCCCCCCCAAAAAAAACTTTTTTTTTCACTTTCCTCTTTATTAATAGTCTTTTAACACTGCATCGTCTTCTTCAGGTTTCGCTACTTTTTCTTCCGTTTCCTCTTCCCCTTCTCTATTTGCCTATTAAGTTTCCGTTTCAGATTCTTTATAATTTCTTCCTTTTTTATTAGTTTTTTTCTTCTGCTTTCTTCAAAATCAGACACATACATCCTCATTATCTTGTGCCCTGTCAACTGGTGTAGGCGCTCATGCGTTTTTACAGATCACATTTCCTGGTTGCCTAGAACAGCTCTCTTGATGATATTCTTTCATGTCCTTGTTTTAGCCCATCCATCTCTCTTGGTCTGCTCCTATGTCTCTTTCCACTGATCTTTCCAGTTGTAATTATGCTTTCCAGTGCCTCTCTTCTCATTGGTCGGCCAAAGAACAATGTTTGTCACCTTCTTATTGATGTATATAGAGATCTAGTTTCATTAGCTTCTTTTAAACAATCGTCTGGCTGGCCAAGGTATTTGTCTCAGAAACCACGTCTCTGTTGCCTTCAAATTCTTCTTAATTTGTTCACTGACATTCCAAGATCCGCTGCCATACATGCGTGTCATAATATTACTACTTTTGTACATTTTGTTTTAAATTTACTTTCGAAGTCGAAGTGCCACTATCTTTGGCTGATAGAATATTTAATGTCGTTCATTATAAAGTTATACTGACAAATACAATTTTATTATCATTAATTTCCACTTTTTCCACATGTGGAGAGAAACCTTTTGCAATCCATTGCTGTCTGGGTATTTATGGCGACTGGCATTCGGTGTCGATATGGAACGTCAATAATTACCCGGTTCGCTAGCACAGTTGGTCAAAACCTTCTGCGCGGCGACTGGCTGGCGAACCCCGTGTGGTCTGGGTTTAGTAGTGTGGCAGGTGGCCAAAAGCTATCTCTCACCTTCTTTAATACAACATCCCCATTAGGCTTTGCTTCTAGCAGATAAGTTTATCCTTTATATGACGTTGCACATCATTTGATACAACATTCCCTTAAGGCTTTGCTTCTAGTAGAGAAGTTTACCCTTTAAATGACGTTGCACATCATTTGATACAACATTCCCTTTAGGCTTTGCTTCTAGTAGAGAAGTTTACCCTTTATATGACGTTGTACATAATTTAATACACCATTCCCTTTAGGCTTTGCTTCTAGTAGAGAAGTTTACCCTTTATATGACGTTGCACATCTTTAATACAACATTCCCTTTAGGCTTTGCTTCTAGTAAAGAAGTTTACCCGTTATATGATGTTGCACATCATTTAATACAACATTCTCTTTAGGCTTTGCTTCTAGTAGAGACGTTTACCCTATGACGTTGCACATCATTTAATACAACATCCCCTTTAGGCTTTGCTTCTAGTAGAGAAGTTTACCCTTTATATGACCTTGCACAACATTGGTTGGCTGTTTGGTGTCACTAGGCAATTTTACATTCAGTAGCTATGGCAAACTACTGGACGTAAACTTGCCTAGAAAAACTACAACAGCCAAAAAATGCTGTTGTTGGTTCTGCAACGTCCTGTAAAGGATACGCAACTAAATTTAGCTGTGGAATAGACCAAAGAACACACAGAGAAGAGAGATAGAGACTGAATTTGAAAACATGGGGAGAACTGCATGCGACAGGAAAGGATAGAAAGCTTTGGCTTGAGTTCGTTGAGGGCCTATGTTCAACTTGTGGTTACAAAGGTTAAAAACAAAAACAACTGCAGGGTTTCCGTTGTCGAAATGGTCAAAGGGTGCAATCTTTGCTAAAATTCCCGGGGGTCTTTACGTGAGCTATGGAGTTCATGCTTTGTGCGACACTCTGGGCCTATTGGTTGTTGTGGAGTGAGACCGAGCCATGTGGAATAAAACCAGGTGTAATGAACTAGATCAGTGGCTCTCAACTTTTATAATGCTGCGACCTTTAGATAAAGTTCTCCTATGTTGTGGCAACCCCCAAACAATTATT